CCGTCCGTTACGTGTGTCCCCCTGTCCTGGCCTGCTTATCTTCAGTAAGGATCAGAAAGTCACTAGAGCGGCCAGCAAGTAAGTATCCAAACTAATCTATAAGACATTACATTAGATTCATAAATCACTGTAAATGATTTTCCCTAGCCTGACTTAAAATTTTGAGTGACTTGTTAACTAATGATCGAATGATATGTTGGCATTCATCGGATAATTGTGTCAACTGTCACCATAAAGTTCTTATTGACTTTTTTACCCCCTACTTGCTATATCTTTTAAAACGAATAATATATGTATTTAAAAAAATACATGAAAATATTAAGAGTTTGCATATAAGAATTTCGGAACAGTTTGTCATTTCAAGGTTATTTTGAAGAAAGTTGCTTTATCTAATTTGACTCGTAAATCCTTATCAAGTTACACTTTTGACCCCTTGCCTTACATTATATGAAATATTATTATACCTTACTTTGTATAAATTCCGTTTATGATATTGTATAAATATCAAAGAAAGATGGCACAACGAAATTGTTTCCATGAAATATAAATTTAAAATTCAGTCCATAAATGCATGTCAACAACCTCATTCTGTATTTTTATATAGATTATCATATAAAAAATATACTTATCATTGTGGCAACCTCGGCGAAAGTGTAGCATCTTCTTCCCATATAGTTTTATAGTTCATTAAAATATTGACCAATACGAGTTGAGCATAGTCGGAAAATGAACTACGGCGACCTTTCAATATCCAGTCGCGTTTTACGTAACATTGTTTATTGAGGTGAAAACAATTATATTCATTGGTTCCACATGACGTCACACCGTAGAGGCGTGTAAATGCAAGACAAAGATACTAAATCGTAACAAGCTGTCAAGGACATAGGAGATCATATGTATAAGATCTGACTTAATTCGATTGGCAAGAGCATATTTTACGTACGGATGATTTCTATAACAGGGCAGACTAATGAAAAGCATGTTTATGAGACTAAAATATTAAAAGTTTCGTTTAAAATTTAGTCTTCATTTTGCAAATTCTATGGTCGACAATATACCATGTCAGCAAGGGTACAATCTGTCGTTAGGTCACATGCTGGAGGGCGTTTTTCATACTAACTGTTAGGCAATCTCCTTTACCCACTGAATTGTCTACGGGTGTTCTGTTATTTCCCGATCATAAGGAGCATACGACGGGTGTTTCAGATTGGTACGGGGTGATTTTTTTTGCTACCTCCACAGCACCTACCGTATATACTCGCCTATAAGTCGGTTGTATTTTATAAGCTTATATATCAGAAGGACAGAACTCATATAATACCATTAATTTGATAGCTCGCCTATAAGTCGGACAAACAGTTTTAGACCAGAGATTAACTCCCAAAAAGCCGACTTATAGGCGAGTATATACGGTAGTCCAGCTCCCGATGCTGTAGATGTCGACAAAACGCAATTTGCCCGAGAAATCAGTCAATAAATGTTTTGTTATACCTTTCATTTTATGAATTTTTTAAAACATGTATTTTGTACTGTCTTTTGTGATGTAACAACAAGACTGTCACTTTTGAACACCAACGAATGAAAATGAGATTAAGCTCCGACCATTATGTGACGTAAGCGTCCAACATCTCACTCATCGGTCCAACATCTCATTCAGCGGTCCAACATCGTTTTTTATGCCCGCTCAGAAAAACATTAGAAATGTTAGACTTTTTTTCGTAGAAAGGATGTATTCGCTTTAACAAAAAAATTGACCTATAGGAGAGAAAATTTTCCCGGAAAAAGTGACATTTAAAAATCAATCTTTATTTGTTGTTTTCTACCGTATATATGTCTAAATTTTTTAAATTTGTATTTTATACCTAAAATTTATTATTTACAACTTTACAAGAAACCTCCAAAGTTGATCGAAACACCATTTTGTCCTTTAAAGCGTTGATTTTTGCATGAATTTTGGCCTTGAAGTCCATCAGGGCAGGCCTGCCCCTAAATAAAATTGTGATATTTTGATAGGTTAGGATGTAAGGAATAATTTAAGATAAGATTTATTTAGGGGCACCCCTGCCCTGGGGTCGAAATTCACAAAAACCCTACAAAAAATAAGGAAACCAGATTTTCATAATCTGCTTTAAATTTATGCCAATCGTCCTTATAATCAGACTAGCTCATTTGATATATACGCTGTCTTTTATACTTTGGATACTCTCTTTTTAAAGTCGGGGGGTTCGAATCCACCTGGTACAACACTTATAAAGTTTTAGATTTCGCCTTTTCAAAGACTATTTTAATTTTCTTTATAGACTTGTGTATTTTTCCTTCAATTTTCTATCCCTTATGCATGCCCATTCTTGATATAAGAAACACTAAAGAGATATCAAATCGTAGCAACCCAGTGTACAGTTGTCAGTCAGGTGGAACGAACCTCAGCATAAGCACACTTTCTCCGAGGACAAGAATAACTCACTGTGTGTTACTCAATACGGGCATTCTTGGCAGCATTGAGCTGCGATGAATTTCAATGTATATATTCCTTAGAATTTAATCACATTGATTTTGGCTACATATTTCAGTAAATGCACTCCCTTGGATTTCATTTAGGCCTTTATAATTTGCACACATTAATGACAAGTTTTTATTATATCCACGGATAAATAGCCTAGACATAAAGAATAGAATTTCAGAGACAGTAGACATTACCTTTATGCACAATGAGAAGTAAAGACAAATATCAATTATTACATTTGGAGATAACAAACTCAGAAAACCAATAAAAAGGGTTCCTCCTATCTCGCCTCACTGAAATAAAGATTTAGGAAAAACAAATTGTTATATGTATTCAGCCTAATGTTATTAATCAGAACGGATATCAACAAGCTTTTTGTAGAGAATAAAACCAAGCCCGGTCCTATAGGTCAGATCCCTATAATGAAGTGATCCTTTGTATAGGAACAAATTTTTAAAGGTATAACATCATCCTTTGTCTGTTGACTGAATCAGTTTTAGACCTCCCGAGTTTGCTGTTTATTTTAGAAAAAAAATGCTACATATATAAGGCCATCCAATTTTAAGATTTAAAAAATTGCTTCTCTTTCAACAAGAATTTCTTTTTTTTTTACTTAGTGAGACCAATCTTGGTACCCAGTGTGTTGGTACTGACCATTTTTCTGCTGTGCATAGCTCGTATGTATTTAAAACATTTTTTAAAGTTTGTTGCTTAATATCCCTCTCGAGAATTTTCATTCATATAGAGACACCACTATTTGCCGGTGGAGGACTGCAAATATTTCATTTCTTGGCACTCAGGTCCATTATGCAGTGAGGGATCTTTTTTCGTGCCAGCATCTTCTGGTATAAACATTCTCATCCGAAGAACCGATCTTATGTATAAACATTCTCATCCGAAGAACCGATCTTAACGTCCAGCAGTGGATTCGAACCCGCCGCATAAGGATCAGATTCTCACTCCGCGATCTTTAAGATGTATATATCATAATAAAAAATCATTTTACATAAACTAACAATACATACCATATGGAAAATGCAGATCTGAAGATTAAGGGAAGAAAAAAGAAAATCTGGAGGAGAACAAAATCAACTAGAATGGAGGAAGATAGTTTAATCAACTAGGAATAGCCACTGATAGCGTCATGCTATCCAAGTTTGAGAGGATAACTCTGATGTTTTTATATAGTTTAGCGAACAAAATGCTTGGAAACTGCCAGTAATCCTACAAACTTAGCGAAAGACTAGCTTCTCCTTAAAACTTTCGTCAGTTTTGTAGCGTTTTTTTTCCGCGTGATTTTTTTCAATGAGTATGTGTCGAGGTTGATATACGTATGACCTTTTCTATTTTCGATAACTGTGATTATAATTTAGCGACAGATGCCCGCTGCTTCACAAACTGGCGTCCATACCGCGACGTCAGGTGCTATGTTGAGATCGTCAATCATCGCTATTTACTCCGGGCTTGTCCTGCGGGCGAATACGTAAATCCAGCTACATGCTATTTGGAGAGGAAACCAAGCCACGTAAAAACGGAACACAGAACAGGTTAGTAGTAAATTCTACAAAATTAATTTAATGAGGAGTTTATAACAAAGAATACCTGCCGGGACCATCTTGACCCTTTCCTCTTGAGAAGTCACGAAGGAAATTTTCCTACGTATTGGCACCTCAAAGTTAACCTCATTTTTTACTTCAGTCCGAAGGGTAAAACTTAAAGACTTTCCCTATCTAATTGCATCTAAAACTCTGTCCCCATTTGTGTTTCAACACTTACCACTGCTTTACGATTTTCCTTTTCTTGCATTAAATTGTCAAAAAACCGAAGAGAGTCATTTTTATCACAGTGCTTTGGGAATTCGATTTTTAGGTCACCCGAGTCATTCAGGTGACCGTCCGTCGGCGTTCGCCGTGCGTTAACATTTGAACATTTTTAACTTCTTCTCTGAAACCAATTTCAACCAATTTTGACATATAGCATCTAAGAGTGATTGGAAACAAACATTGTGAATTTCAGGGTCCCTGTCCCCTGGGGCCTGAGGGGTTTGGCTTAAACCACCAAAAGTAATGCAATCTTAAAAAATCTTCTTTACTCCTGGACATCAAGCAGTCAAACTGTTGGCATGATTGTAATAGCAGTGAGCCCTCTTCCAAAATTGTGAAATTCATGGCCCAAGGGTCAGGGGTTCTGGTGTTAGGGCGGGGCAAAAAACATGTAGATCATAAAGTGAAAGCGCATTATTTCTTTTTAAATCTTCTCTAGTCCTGGGTAATAGATAAACTAAGTACATAATTATGATGAGCAAGAGTGCCTCATCAAAAATTGTGAAATTCATGGCCCCAGAGTCAGGGGTTCGGGTGTTGGGGTGTGGCTCTTTTAATTAGTAGTATATAGTGAAAATGCATTATTTCTTTGAAAATCTTCTCTGCTCCTGGGTATTAAATAAACTAACTAAATAGTTTTGTGAGCAAGAGTGCCTTTTTCAAACTTAGGTGACCCCTGGGTCTTGGGTTCTGGTGTAAGGGGGGGGGGGATGTCTATTGATTATATAGTGAAAATACATTAATTCTTCGAAAATCTCCTCCTCTTATCTTGGTATTAAATAAATAACCAAGAATGTGGTTATGATGAGCAATATTGCCTTTTCCATAATTGCGGGGCTCTCATGATTATAAATTGTAAATGCAATGGATTCTTTGAAAATCTTTTCCTTTGCTCCCGGGCAATGCATTTTTTCTTTGTTCTCTGATCTACCTCTGGGTATTAAGTAACCAAAGTTAGCATGCTACTAAGTGTATAGTTATGGTAAGCAATGGTGCCTCGTTCAAAAATGTGAATTTCGCCTCTGGTTTAAAACAAGAACCAAATTCAATTGTTGGAAAGTTGCTGAATGATACTCGGTTGAAACATAAGGTCCGTGCCTCTTGTTATTTTTCCGAATGAACACTTGATATCTTGGACATGACTCAAAACTGTATTGATATGCCTTAAAAAATGGTACACTTAAATATTATCTAAGGCTTAACTAATCTATGTAATTTTCATTGTTTTCACTGATTTCTCAATTGCAGATTGTGATCATGCTTTGCGTGGTGAAGCAGTTTATGTTTCCTGGAGTGATTTCCATACTCACAAAACAACGATTAAGACTACCACCACGACCCCCACAACAACGACAACACCAACAACGACGACAACAACACCAACAGCGACAACAACACCAACAACAGCGACAACAACACCAACGACTACAGCAACGACGACAATAACAACGGCGACGACAACAACGACGACAGCAGCGACAACAACCACACCTGTACACGACAACGACACATGTTACAGAAGTCATTCATATTATAGAGGTTTATATAAATATCATTACACGTATAAGTAAAATGAAGAGCAAATATTTTTAAAGAAAAGGCACTTCTTAATTCCTCCTGCCAAATATCAAAGATGTTGGATTTATTTCAGGATATTCATGAAATTTTATCGTAAATGTATGAAATACAAAATGCATACATCAAACATGAAAATGAATAAAATGTAGGCACAATAGTTATCAGAGATACTTTTAGAACAAAATATTGATGTCGTATGAGGTATTTGTAAACAAGAAGTAGTGGATTAGATACATTTAATTTTTTTAAATTCAACATTTAAAAAAAAGTACCAAAAAAGAATTTTTGAGAATTTTTAAATCAATATATCTTTTTCTTGCATATATTTTTTTAGCAACAAAAAGTAATATGTTGTCAAAATTGCTGTATTGAAAAAGGAGATGCCTTTAACTAATATTTCCAGGTTTGAATTTCAGAAAGTTTATACCATTTGGGTAAAAATCAATTTATTATTGTGTTTTAATATTTTCAGATATTTTTGACAACGCAAGGACAGAAAATTGCTTTTCACCATATTATGGTAAGGAGATAATCGTTTCAAGAAAACCATCGTTGTCGTTTTGTATTTTTAAAACTCTCTATATACATTTTATGAGTTAAATAGGAATTCTAATCTTGAATTCAACCAAATTTACTCAAAACCATGCATTTATATAGTTTGAAAACTTATTTTGTAGTTTTTACAAAACTGGATTATCTGCGGAAAGTTGATCTCAGTTGTCTTTCAACTTTAGTTCATGTGATGGCGAGTAAGTAGTTTATATTTGTTTAAATGAATTCGAAAATTGTTTGTAAACTAAAGTGTTAAAAGTTGTCATGTAAAGTTTTTATGCTGAAAGGTTCATTCACTTTTATTGTTGCTGGTTTTTTTTTACATTAAATCCGTTCATTAAATAAATAACCTACATGTAGCTATAAGATAAAATCTAATTAGGCAGTAATATAAATTTGTTCGATGTTGTGTCATCATTATGCCATCATGCTTTGCTTCACAGGTCTTAGTTTACCCAGCTGTGGATGTTCTGGCACCCAAATATCATATCCGTATCGCGGGGATAGCAGTAGTGAGTATAGTTCATATGTATATGTCACATTGATCATACAATATACAGGGAAATCTGTCTTTATTAAATTACTGGTCAGTTGGCAGGGGATACTAAACTCCTCCATGGCACTTGATCCCACATCTGCTGGTTTTAGGTCGATGTTTGCTTTTCTCCAAAATTTGTACTGTTAAATTGACTTGAGCTTGAATACTGTTCGTATTTACCATTTCATGTATAAATTGCCTTTAAAAAGATTCTGTAATCATAATATGGGTCACTGAACGTATATTTTGTTTTTTTTTAAACAAGAATGCTTTTTAATCACTGTCATAATACCATGCTTTGGTTTTATTCATTTTTATCGATAGATACGCATTACTATACGTGTAGGAATAACCAAATCTTTCAAGGTTAGTGGACAGATAATATATATACATATATATCAGTTATGTATTTATTGTGTATTTTTAATACATTCTTTTCGCGATGTTCTCAAAGATATATTTTTAAAACTTTATTTAGAGGTAATGAACACATACTTGACTGACCAACCTCAACATTCTGGCGAAAGTAAAGTGACAACAGTAAATTGTCATAGTCGAAATAAAGGTTTGTAATTAGGGGATTAAATTAGTATTGATTTTTCTTGCATGTTCTTAAATTTCAAATATTTTTATGCCTATCTGCTTGGAAAATATATGTTAAGCAGCAAAATAGAAGAGCCATCCAATGAAGAATTTTCAGAGAATATACTCCTGCTTTATTGAAACAAACATCCCCGCTTGTGTATTTAAAATGAGGCTACAGATAAATTAATCTATTTCTTAGTACTAGATGTGTTTGACGGATGAACGTTGAATATATTTGTTTTTAATCCATTGAATACTTATAAATTAAAACAATTTAAAATCTAAGTGGATATACAGCTGTATTGTTTCTAAAGTTTATATTACTGTATATCTTTTGTACAGTCTGGAAAGATCTACTCCGTTTACTGAATGATGGCACAGAATGCTTTGTTGATTTTGTCTATCAAATGGATGGTATGAACCATTAATTTGTCGATCTTAAATTTTTTAAAATAATGTTTAATCGAAATACATTGCAACTATCTTAAATACAAATATATTTTGCTTGTTTTTTTTCTATTTATTTCACAATGCACTGGTATCAGACTACTGAATCGATCTGATAAAAACACGATTAAGTCAGGCCATCTTTTTAAAAATCGTTTGGTAGCCCTCTCCCAATTGACTTTAAATGGCCCGACTCAAAAATTTTCTTTATATTCCAGGCCATGATATTTTTTTCATTTTATTCCTCTCATCCTACCAAAAATATGTTGAAATTTTTTTTGGGAAAAAAAATTTACTCATCTACCTTCCGACCAAATAATTTTACCCTGAATCGGAAGAAGCAAGCAAACATTAGTTTAAAGATGGCCTTATAATTCTGTTTTTAAAGTTTTTAAAGCTGTTGAAATGTTTACTAGCATTTTGATTATAAGAGTAGAAAACATTATTATTTTCTTTAATTTGCAGTTGCCTATTTTTATAACCATGAACCAAGCTGCCAAAATGCTTGCCAGTCAACTGGAACTACACAGTCTCAGAGTACGTGTATGTCTTTTAATGCCCCAGCAATGTTTTTGAACAACAAATACTTAATCGTCGTCGCAAACCAGGCCAAAATGTACGATCCTCTCCCATTCTGGTAGGAGAGAGCTATATGCGGACTCCGGACCGTGGCTTGAGACGATGATACTTAATGTGATTTTGCAAAATATCATATCGTATTTTTAATTGCACAACTAATAGATAGAGATGCATGATTCTACATTTTCAGTGGGTATCAGTTGAGTATAAGAATATAAGATCTGTTTTAAATGATTTTTTTTTCATAACTAGCTACACAGTCTACAAACCATCAACTGTCCCAAAGTGAAAGTGAGTTTTATTTTCCGTCCGTCTCATTTTTATCCCTTATAATACTCTTTATATATTTATAGAATCTCCAGTCAAAAGTATAATCAATACTCAGTGCATAACTTATTCTAATGAAACATAATCCTTGCAAATTTTATGAACATGCATGTATTTTTCCCCCTAGAATACGAGGCTTACAAGAAGGGAGAATGTCTAAGTGAACACACATGTAAGTAAATCTGTGTGTGATTATCTGGGTGGGCATGAATGACATTTTATATTAGTACATATTTATTCTTTTCTTTAGTATGGTCATTCCTTTATTATGAAGATAAATATCCAGAGGGATTGAACAGGAAACAACTGATACAGAAGATGGCAGGTATTTATTTGTTTGTTCGTCACTATCAAATAAAATTACTTTTTGGATTGTTTTTTTTCATGAATAAATAAGGTCATTCAGATATATGTTCTATAGAAAATACTCTATGATCTATAAATATATATAATTGTTTTATTCAGTCTGAATTGTAGATTTAAAATTATAAGATTTAAGTTTTTGAAACCCTCTAAATGCTAATTTTTACTCGTTATCCACTGTTCCCAAATGTTGATAATACATTTTTTTTCAACTTTTTGCAGCACTCTATCCTTCCAGTTCTGATGATAAATGTACTTGCACGAAATCGTTCGATTTACACTATAATGACTATGGAACTCAAGGTAGGATCCTAAATCGATATACATTACGTATGTAGCTACTTATTTAGTCCTATTTGTGCCATGTGCACAGAAGGCCCGAATACAATATGTATTAACTATTCCTCGGTAATTTTTTTTTATTTAATATGCTTCATGATATGAAAATAGATTGTAAACCAATTAAAATTGTTTGCTTATAAATGTATATGGATTCGTCAGGTATATACTTTTTAATTATATCGATTTCAGATAACACAGCCTTGTCTTGTTCGAGGAATACTCAAAGCTCTGCATACAGAGGTCTGTAGGCACATTACTTTATGTTTTACTACCAACACTCAAACATATTAATGAATTACTTGCAAATTTATCGTTTTAAGTCTGGTTTAAAGCTTTTTTTATATTGTTTTAGGTGCTATATCCCATCTACTGGATCATATGAATTTTGTTCAACCAGCTCCCCAGCGCTGCCAATCGCACGCATCTGGTAATTTAATTCTGTTAAAACTAGATCTGCTAGTAATAGTCTGGTTCGGGAAAAATTATAATCCTATGAAAACGTTTATTATCAGATATTAATCAGTCATGAATATTTATGACACAATACACTGTCGGATTTGAATCAATTATTTAAACGATTCCTTACGCAAATTTTCATAATGTGATGTTGCTGAACATCACGGAAGATTACTATTATCATGCAATACTAAGTACACTTGAAAATTGGAATACATCTTACCACGGATACATGATTAACCCAGAAGAATAATTATCTTTTCAATATAAATTATTGAAATTTCTTAAGATTTTGACAAAAAAATTTAACTTGAGATTAATTTGTTTCATTACTGCAATTGTCTGAATTGAAGAATACGATTTAATTGTATAGTTTGGCGGGAACTTAACGATATTCTACAAAACAACCATGATGGCGAACGTTGTGTGGAGAACCTTATTCATCATTTATATGGTAACTCAAACCATTTAAATATAGTTATTCTTAGAAAACGTCTCCTCAGTACTTTAAAAATAGTTCAGCAAATACGGAAGAAAAATTAATTCCATTGGAAGAGAATTCCTTTTCAATATTGAGAAATTGTGTGTTTATGTTGAGAAAAGATAAGCTGATACTTCAGTTCATTTATTCGGAAGATTTCTAGATGATATCCAATCATTCCTAGTACATTGATCAGGACATTCCAATTTTTTTAAACATAGGTAATTAAATACTAGGTACTGATTGTTCAGCATTTACGTTACTTCAGGTGCCGTATATCAACAAGGAGATCCATGTTCATGTCATGCAGGTGAAGTATTTTTTTTTTAATTTTGGAAGAATTTATTTCCAGGAATGAAACTTAATATTATTGTACATGTATATGATTTTAACTGGTGTTTCAATACGTATAACTTACATGTAACATCACACCTGAAAATATTGTAAAATTAATTTTGAATTCTGTAATTAATTTTTTTTTCAAGAATTAGTGTATGTTTCTGAATGTTGTTAACAGAAATGACAACAAAACCAACAACACAATCAACAACTACAACCCAATCACCAACAATAAACACGACAACAACCACAACAGCACAAGCAGTAACAAACACAACTCTTCCACCGACAACTAATGCCACCATGAACACAATCACAGTACCAACTATAACAATAACTAACGTGAATTCTACTACAAACCCTCTACAAACAACTACAATCAATAATACAACCAATACAACATTAACACCTTCCAACTCAACATCACCAGGGACAACTACAGGCAGGTTAATAGACACGTAATCGACAACATGTTGAGAGTCAACTACTTTCTCCACTTTCTTTTCATGAGGTTACCGAATGTAATTAATGTGCTTTTTAATTCTGTTTCCTTTTCTTCGTTGAAAAAGGTCAAGCTACCGAGTGTTCTAAAATCAAAACAGTCACTGAACTGGCCAAATACCAGCAGCTTTACCCAGAATTCAATAGCGACTGTTCCAATCACATATCCACGTCTAATTTAATTGTAAGGGATTTATGTAGCTCTGTTCCGAGTTCAAAACTCTGGAAACCAGGAACAAAGGTAAATTTTTATTTCTTCAAAGTGTCTGCTTTCTTTATTTACGTGTCCCTTCTCTTCGTTATTCTTTTTATTTGTTGGAAATGTTTAGCAATTATAAAATATTCAGTAGTTTTCTTCATGTTATCAAATTTTACATATGTAGCATGGCATTAACTTGCATTCGATTTCTCTCAAAAGCCTTAGCTGACGTCATAATACGATTTATGATATTGTTTATTCCACTGTTTTAAGCCATATCAGACTACTAATTGGTATTTGTTCTTGTCGAGTAAGTTTGACCTGATCGAAGCTTCATGTTATATACATTGCTTTTTGTTATTAAGGTCTTTCGTCTCCAACGGAAGACCTTATTGTTTTCGTTCGGTTTCTTTTTCCCTATTATTATTATTAAGGTCTTCCGTCTTCAGCGGAAGACCTTCTTGTTATTCTTAGGTTTCTTTTCCACTTTTATTATTCTTTTTTTTCTTACCGATTTTGTGCACGCGATTTCTCGAAAATGGCTCGATGGATTTCCATGAAACTTTCAGGACTTATGTAACATTACTTGAACCTTATGCATTTTTTTCCGATTTGATGACGTCACTTCCGGTTCGGAGAAATTGTCGATTTCACGATTTTTGAAGGGTCAGGTTGTCCGCAGACTTTCTAACAAATGGCTCTAGATAGAAACATGAAACTTTCAGGTATGATAGACCAAAGTCTATAGATATGTATAACGTAATTCATTTTTATCGGAAGTGCCGCACGTCGGCGCTCGCTATGGCCCGAAAATAGACGTTTCGCGAATTTAAAAAATTTTGACACCTTTTCTAAGATATCTTTTTACCTAGAAATATTTTGTGAGGACATATAGAATAAAAGAAGTGTAGAATTCCAAGACCTTTCAAATGATATCTCGAAAAAAGGGCTGGCCCCTAAAATGAGGGGCCTAGAGGGGCCGAAAGTTTTTTCTTTATATCTCAAAATCTATATAGAATTTGTAATACATCAAAGAAGCAAAGTTGTTCAAAATGTCAAGCTCAATACATTGGCGTCGTCAAAATTTGTCAAGCGACGTCACTTCCGGCCAAACCGGAAGTAGTCGGAAAACGCGTATTTTTGCAGTTCTTGAGAAGTTTTTGGGTAACAAATGTCTCTGGGAGCATAAAAATTTATTTTCCGTCCATCGTCGTCGCTTCCGGTCACACCGGAAGTAGCAAAAAATAGCTTATTTTGCATTAATTAACAGATCTTTAGAGGATTCAGGCTATTTGGGGGCGTTATTTCTCATTATTGTTAAAAATAAAATCTACTTCCGGTCAAACAGGACGGAAGACCTATTCGTTGCTTTGCAACGAGCTTTGCTCTAGTTATTATTCTTTTTTTTTCTTACCGATTTTGTGCACGCGAGTTTTCGAAAACGCCTCGGTCGATTTTCACGAAACTTTCAGATCTGATAGATATTGGTCTGAACCTTATTGGAAATTTTTTATATGTACGTCGTCACTTCCGGTCGTGAGATATGGGCGATTTACTGATTTTCAGAGGGTCAGCTTGTCCTGGCAATCACTGAAAAACGAATGAAGATATTGACTCGAGATTTTCAGTTATGGTAGAGGAAGGATATCTGAATTGCTTTTTTGAGTTTATATTTTTCTAGCGCAAAAGGCGTCGAAGCTCTCTTGAGCTCATTATTTTTATTGTTTTTCTGACCATCAAATTTTGTGCACGCGATTTCTCGAAGACAACTAGATGGATTTTCATGAAATTTGCAGGAACAATGTGTTGTTATCTGCCGTTATTATGTTCCCCAAACGGAGTTTGGGAACATATTGTTTTTACTCGGTTTCTTATTATTATTATTATTATTATTATTATTCTTTTTTTTCTTATTTGTTCTCCGGTACTTTTTTGTCCGGAAGTGTTCTCAGAAACTGTTCACCCAACTGACCTAAAACCTTTTTAGGGTTAATGGGTGTGTAGTGTAGGTGTGCGGAACGAAGGTCATTTTGCGCGCATACGCCTGCACGTGCGTGCGCGTGCAACACGTGAAATGACTTAAATGCTTAATATAGCTACATATGTATAACTTTTACATTTTTGAATGAAATGATTTGAAACTCATTATATAAAGATATATTAATAGTGTAGATAATGTGACACTGTCAAATTAGCACGAACTCACGCGCATGCACGTGCGCTTCGCTCTGATTGGCTGAAACAAAAATCTCAGTATCTTCTCTGTTTTTTGACGAAATGCTTTGAAATTTAAAAGATAGTCTTGAATTAGGATATCCTTCAATATTATATAGAAAAAATTTCATGAAATCACGTGCATGCACGTGTGCTGCAATCTGATTGGCTGACACTTTAAATGACTATATCGCCTATGTTTTTTGACGAAATGCTTTGAAATTTAAAACATAATCATACATTAGGATGTCCTGCAATATGATATACAAAAACTTTCAAGAAATTACGCGCATGCACGTGTGCTGCGATCTGATTGGCTGAAACTTTAAATGACTATATCTCCTTTGTTTTTTGACGAAATGCTTTAAAATTTAAAACATAGTCATTCATTAGGATATCCTACAATGCGATATAGAATAACAATCATGAAATCACGCGCATGCACGTGTGCTGCAATCTGATTGGCTGAAACTTGAAATGGCTATAACTCCCTTGTTTTTCAACCAAACAGGATGGGATTCAGAACATAGATAAATATAAGGGACTCCTACAAGAAGGTATGGTCATCATGCACGTGCACGCACGTGCGTGCATTTGGAACGAATGAAATAAGAAATACACTTGTATGAGTGATTTTTAATACTTTTGGACTGAATGCTTTCCTATATAGTATATTACAGGGAATATGGCACTAAAAGGGAGTTGGGGAGCGTTTGGGGAACATCTGTAACGGTTCCCGTTACAATTAGCACTAGTTAAATCCAAGAGATTTTTTGAAAATTCCTTTCTGGTGCAAAGTTAGTAACAATTTTCTTATTTTAAAATGACATTTGGTTCGCGAATAATCTCAAGAACGGTAAAAGATATCATTGTGAAACTTTCAGGGATTATAGATCATGATAAGTATTATTCAAGACATGATCTTTTGTACGTCGTCTCTACTTCCTGTTGTAACGGCATGCAAATTTAAAAAGTCGAATTTTTCAACTTTTTTGTTTTTCAATATTTTCAAATTATATTAGTATGGCTGATAGAAACATATCTCATTAGGCTGAATATATAATTTGTTTGTAAATTGATAAATTCAAACTCGAGATATTAACATTCAAAAATATGAAGCGGGATCAAAATGGCGGCGGTCTTTGTCAATTCCGACATTTCGCAATAGGGGTTTACAGAGGCAGCCGAGCGTTTGCTTGAACGAAAGTAACATAAGGAACAATGAAATGTGTAAGGATACTTGTATTGTCACGTCGTAGGTTCGTTGCAATTCTGCGTCAAACTTCATTTATAATCCAATGTCTCCTTACAAGTCTTCTTTAATTGGTTTTGGTTGGTTCTCAAAGTAGAAATAGAAAAGAATTAATGTGCAAATTGAGTACAATATCTACTATTTTTTGTTTTGCATCACGGAAACACATAACTTAAATCATAGTTATAATTAATAATTTTTAAAGAAACAATATATATATTAAGAACGAAACGTGACCACTGGTTTCCCATGCACACTTGTGTTATATTAAACTAATAGAAAGGACAACTGTTACAATAAGAAAACATTTTTGTAAAAGATAATTATTTTTAAAAACCGTTTAATTAACCTATATAATTTTTTTTTTCTCAATGCAAGTTATTGAACATAATGGAATCTTATTCCTAGACCCACGTAGGACGATCGAGGAATTTTTTTGGTGAAACAAACCACCTTTTTCATGAAAGTGTAGGTAATCGGAATGGTCCACTTTCGTGATTAAGAAGAATTCTTGTGCCTTTTAACATTTTATCCTATTAATGGAGTTATCCCAACACAGGTCGTATTCAACGAGATATCGGACGGAAGACCTACTCGTTGCTCGCAACGAGATCGCATCTAGTATTGTCATTATTTTTTGTCTGAGTTGCACATTCTAGGCATGAATGGTTCAGTAAGACTACAGCAAAAATTAATTTCATAATTTCTGCTGAATCTAAATCGTGAAGTTTTAAAATGTTTGAGATGTACAGTTCCTTTTAAGATATTGACAAATATATGCTGATATATTTTATACTTATCAGTTTGTATAAAATGCAGTGTACTTGAAAGATTTATTAAGAAAGATAAAAAATATATTATCATAAAATATATTGCAGAAATATATTGATGAAATACACAACACAAAAACTTTGTAAATCTTGCAAAAATACAGTTTGTCACTGCCAAAGGATATGTTCTTGAAGTGATGATACCATGTATTTTTTTTACAATAATTTATCTTATTTAGATACATGTAACTAGTAAAAAAATTAATATGCCTTCCAACCTTAGATATTAATATCATTTACACATACACATTATTTACATATGCATAAACAATCATAGCAATATGTAGGACAGGATTGACATTAGTGTATGCCCTATGTTATTTTTCCGTGTTTAGTAAAGCAAACAAGTATCTGATTTTCTTTCTGCCATATTTTTAGTGAAAGTAAAACAGTTCACCATGCAATCGAAATTATCTAATTTCACTTTGCCTAAGCATTTTTATCGTGAAATACACAATTGACACAACTGGTAAATACTTTAGCTCACGTGAGCTGAAAGCGGAAGTGAGCTATTCTGATCACAATTTATCTTGTCCGTCTCTCCGTCTGTAAACTTTTCACATTTCGACTTCTTCTCCAGAACCACTGTGCCAATTTCAACCAAACTTGCCACAAAGCATCCTTGGATGGAGGGGGTTCAAATTTGCTCAAATAAAGGGCCAAGAAATAGTGAAATTTTGGTAGCATGTTTTAAAAATCTTCTCAAGAACCACTAGTTAGGGAGAGATAAAACTAATATGGAAGCATCCCCAGGTAGTGTAGATTTAAGTTTGGTCCTTTTCAAAAGGAAGCACCTTCAGGTGGTGTAGATTCAAGTGTGTTCAAATCATGACCTCGGGGGGTAGGGCGGGGTCACAATGGACGACTTAAGTTTTACATAAAAATATATGAATTAGGAAAAATCTTTTTAAAATCTTCTCAAGAACAACAAAACCATGATTGATCATATTTATAAGGAAGCATCCTCAGGTAGTGTAGATTCAAGTTTGTTCAAATCATGACCCCAGGGGTAGTGTGGGGCAAAAATGAAAATTCAAACTTTAGGGGAAGAAAGTCACACTAAGTCAAAGAAATATGTAAGAATCCTTTACAGATTCAAGTTAATTCAAATCATCCTCCCTTCTGCCTTTTAGAGGTAGGTTGGGACAACATGCATTTAAGCTTTTCAAAACTGGATTTGTTTTTGTTTTTTCTCCTAGCCACAGTGCTCTGGTGAGCGATGTGGCCCACGGGCCTCTTGCTTTTTTGAAAATCTGAAAACTATTGAAATCAGACAAATAATTTTGTTTTGTAGGTAGTTGATGCATGTGACACCCTTATGCTTTATACACCAGTAGCAACTTTTAGTTCCTCTAGCTACCCTATAGATGGACTTGCAGGAATATTCTTGGGCTGTACCGATAAATTTATAAAAGTATGTACAAAGTTAAAATCACCTCCGTAGATTTCTATCAGGTTTGATATATATTACCATTAATTTTGCTTTCCATGACAACTTTTATTAAAAAAAAAAAAAGGAATAGGAATAACCCAACAAAAATATAGAATATCTGCGAAACAAATTTGTGCATACACTTTGATGCAATCTGTTTGTAATTTGATCTGATGTTAATTTATATTAATATTTTTTGGGCATGAAATAGGAATTAAACCAACAATATTTTTTCAAAAAATTATGAAGCGATACAAGATTTGATAAAAACAAACAAGGATTTCTGAAAACATCAGAGGTGAAATCGTTTGCCGTGAAGGAGTATCTATGCCCTGTCGATCGAACACACCCATAATGTACTCTTGTCACGGTTGAGCAAACTGAGGAATCCGCAGTCCTTTTAGTTTGAAAATAATTTATTGGTGTGTATGAAGAATGTCAGTCAATATTCAAACGAACAACAGATTGTGGTTTTAAAAGATCATTGTGTAGATACTAGATTTGCGTCGAGATTTTTTGCCCTTGATTTACCATTTCATTTCTTAGGGTCTGTCATGTCTTGGAAATTCTTAAAAGAAGATTCTTTTTGGATATTGAATCACTTGGGAGACAAACCTAAATATTTCAGATTTCATGACGATATCACATTCAGAAAGAAAATGAGGTTAAAATAAAGAAACCATACAAATGTACATCGGCGTACGAAAGCAAGCGTAATTTACGTCTCTTATAACGTCATGATCAATTTTTAATGCCTGCCTCATGTGTTTAATACGCGTATCTTAAGCATCTGATTTTTTTAAAAGTAAAAAAGAACACTTTTGCTGAAAGGACTCGATTAAATTCATTACTGTCATTTTTTTTAAAATTAGATTTATATTTCAGTCGAAATTAAGTCAAAAGATCGCCTTACATATGCTACAGAAAAAAACACAACGTTTGACGTCGATCTTGGCTCATAACGTTTGACGGCGTCATTTTCAACAAATTCAATTCCAACAACACTTCGAAAATCACGACACCAATCCTCTGCCTCTGATGCTATTTATATGAAAATTTTTATTTTATTTAGATTTTGATTCTGGATTCACCGATATAAATTTGAGTTTGATGTTTTATATAGTACGAAAGAAACATATACATATGTAATAACTATATGAGTCAATATTTCCGGATTTTTTTCGTACACCGACAGACCATGTCGGACTTCCTATAAAACGCCATAATATCATTAATATGAAAAATATATATTTAAGAATTCATTATTTCAAGAAACTTTCGATATATTATATCTATGCAAAATTTGGTTAGTATTGGTTGAATGTTTACAAAGTTATGAACATTGTCTACGACTTTTTGGGACAAACCTCGTAAGTGTCATGAATTACTTTATGTACTACCATAAAAGAAAGTCCTTAACATGTCATATCAATCTATTAATCAATATCATAGATGACATGGGTATACGACGAATACATGTAAATGATTATATGATTGGTATCATTATTCATTTTAGATTGCTGCCCAGGAGTGTGGTGGTAAATTTGAAATCCTGGAGTTTTCTCGACATTCCAATCATTTAGAGAGCTTTGCAAATACATCGTCAAACTACTATACTATAACATATTAGAAGAATAGTGTGTATTGACATGATGTAAACATTTGTGAAACTTAATGAACAATAAAGACCTTATTGCCAAATTTCCATTAATTTGATGAATTCCAATGTTTTTGATAAAAGAAACTTGGAATTTTTCACAAGTCTCTAGCAGTGTAAAAACCCAACTTTTAATAGGAAGTATTTAAGGTATGTCACTCGTCAGCTTTTTGGAAAAGTTCACTCAGATCATCTTGCTTCAAAACTATTTATTAAAATTGATTTTTATAACATATTTAAATTCAGTAATGTTAATGTTTTAACATTCAATGAAAAAAGTACTCAAAAAGCTACAAAGAAGCAAGATTTTAGAGGGACTATTTCTTGTGGTGGAAGGATATTTAGCAGATAATTCTGCAAATCTGCACATTTATTTAATTTAATATCTTGGAACTTAAGCCTCACATACTTTTACTCAGAGAATATTTTCCGTTATGACATTGCTATGAATATTTAATATAGGTCTTAATTTATATTTTTAGAACAAGTTTTACACCTTACTTCAACAAACTTTGCCAAAAAATGAAGAATGTCAAATAAGTCTAGATAAAATTTATACCATTTTTCGCCTGAAAATCACATATTTTAACCACTATTTCAAAATTAACATCACTGACACCAACTTTTTCTTTCATTATTTTAAAGTACTCGATACTTGTGACTGATCAGCACTTAAGTCGTAAAAAGCTTGATTTAAGAAAATGTTTTATTGCCTATTTAGTTTTTTAATACCTCAAATATGTTACTTTTTAGTGCAAAAAGTTCATACAATAATTAACACGCATTAATTTGCAAGATTTTTTCAATGATAAATATTATTCAAACTATTTTAAGTAAAAAAAAATTATATTTATTGTCATGGTTACATCTGATAAATTATGACAAAGGTTAAAGTAATTTACCCAAGAGTTAAAGTTCAAGTGCAAAAAGGTCAACTTCATTGTACCGTAGATCAGTAAGATGCACACTGACCCCCTATTTTCTCTGCGATTTTGAGTCACACTATATGAGTACTTAACCAAAATATACTCCTCAAAAAATCCTTGATTTAACAAATTTCACTAGTGACATACCTTAATTTTCCATTCATGGGGTAGATATAGGAAGAATTAAATCTGTCTGAAATTGAAGTTTTTAACTGCAATTAATTTAGATATATTGTTTTTATATCTTTCACTTGTTCTTGTAAGAATCGTGTATCATGCAGGAGACCATCTGGTGGCATTGCATTTGAAGTGAACACCACTAAAAGTTTTTTTTTTAACTATTGGGAAAATGTGCTGTGTGTTGTCGTTAATATTATCTAAAGCATATGCAGGTAATTAAAGAATAAAACTTTAAAAAATAGTAACCCTTGCTAGATATTTCAGAAGTTATTTTTTTTTGCTTGTCATTATTTCAATTAAGCATTGAATTATTATTTTTTGAAAAATGCAGTCTCATAACTGCAATGGTGTGTGCAAACAAATTGGGTAAAGTGTGTTGGCTCGTTATGAAAATTTGTTTGCACACACCATTGCAGTTATGAGACTGCATCTTTCAAAATGGATAATTCAATGCTTATATTTACATTTTTTTATCCCCTTTATTTTCCGCAATTTTGATTTTTCTGTTTAAAATCCCCGCATTATCCTTCAGGTAAGTTGCAATTGATAGAACAGCCTTTGGAACGGCTTAATCCGGAAACGAAAATAGTGAACAATGATAACATATAACAATAATGAAAGATTTTTTTTTTTTTTCAATCTAAAATGATAAACTATATTTTTGCAACAAAGAAATATAAATTAATTGTATAACAGACAGAAATTTTCGTTTTGTTTTAACAGTAGCGGCGTAGTCCCTGTATTCATACACCAGACAGACTTTGGTGATAAGGTCTTGTGTGTTATGTGTACTTATCACTTGTAATTTTATGGGTCAAACACAGTAAATGTAAATATTAAATGATATCAACAATTACAGATGCCCTATACTAGTATATCTTTTTTCCCTTGTAATTTAACAAATTCACTGAAGCTAGTTTTTGCGCACACTAACCTTATATAGATCATATCACATCCATATTGAAGTAACACAAACACGAAGTTTGATGGATGAATTAATCACTTATTATACATGTACAAATGACGAAAGGTAATCAAAAGATAAATCAAATTAAGGGGAGATCACTCTTACATAATGATTCATTGAAAAAATGAACAAAACATTAGTTGATCTCCCCAGTGTAACATATTACATCAAGAAAATCCAAATTAAAAATGCAGTATCTAAAAAGTACCAGTGAGCAAAAGGGTGGCTGTTTTATCAACTACAGTTTTAAAGGACACAATAAAATGTTGGGGGGGGGGGGGGGAGTTACAGCGTAAGTAGTAATGTTTGTGAAAAACATTTGCTCCTATATGACAGCTCCTGGTGTTTTCAAATGCAATCAAATCCAAATGTGAAGACATTCAAAATGTTGGCACTCAAAGGATAATTTATCACAAGGCCCTAAGACCATAAACTGATAACAGACGTAACCCTTTAACCCCCAGAGACGCATTTAGATACACTTTCATCATGACAGAAATTAAACTGTTGATTTTTTTTTCAATTGGAATACAACAAAACCATTGATATTTTCTTAAACTAGAGAAGAAATTGAACAGTTTTGCTACACAAAGTTATTCTGTATGGTGTTCAGATATTATCAAAAAACTTGGAGTGAATATTAGATATCCTACCAGGAAGTTAATAAAATTACGCATAAATGACTGTAGGATTTCGTGCTATCTTTCGTTGGCTTTTTCTTAATAACAACACAAAATAAAATACAAATAGATGCCATAACCCGAAGGCTGAGAATTATCCCTACATTTTTATAACGGACGTTATAACATTTATGCATCCGTTACAGAGATACTCGTTGTCGAATATTGGATCTTTGAATTTTTGATATCTCGAGTACCAATTAACATATTTGCATAAAAGTTTGCAGCTGTATAACAATTTGAATTCAAAAATGAAAATTTTATTTCAGTATCAAAATTATTGCGAAAGTTATATTGGTTTGAAGTATTGACTTTTAAGTATGTTCTCAGTTTATGGTCTTTAGGCAAGGAGTAAAATGTGAACGTAAGAATCGTAGCATTAAACATTTAAAAGGTATGACTATGGTTACAATATGTCAAGTCTATGACAATCTAAGGTTATCGTTATAAGTCACATTTGTTGATACTTTAAGCAAGGTCTTATAACACACTTTACCTCCAGAAAGTTCTCGTGACATGGAACACATATTACATAATGAAATCACAATTTCGGTTGCTTTTAAGTTGGTCTAGATTATAAAGTTAGGAAAAATGGGTCAAACTCAAGATTAAGAGATAAAGTATGTTTGTACCAAATGTAAGGATCAAATTAAAAGGAATTCCCATGCAAGTCCTAAAAAGTTAAATGTTTGCGGACAAAATAAAGATACAAAAGCAGGGTTCTCCATTAGCTGTTTTACTGTGTTGCTCCCGACACAGTAACACAGTATATTTTTTGTCGACACAGTACTTAAGATCAATGATAATAAGAAAATCGGAACATATAAATTCTCTTTACTGAAACTTTAATCAAACAATTTTACCGTCTTTCAATTCTAACAGGTAGAACACTTAATCAGGACTTCACCTTGGATAATCAGTTATCTCCTAGACCCTCGCCGGACGTTACGCATGAAGAAACAAAGACAAATAATTTATTTCACACTTCCATGTAGCGGTTAATTGGTAGTTGTATTAAAAATACATCGTATTTTTTTAAAATTAAATATGCATTTTCTATAGAGCCACGACTCTAGAATTATGTTGGCGTTATAAGTCAAACATCATCGTACCGAAATCATTTTAGGACAGATGATACAAACAAATTTTTTCTTTGGAGGAGACTTAATAACATAACGTGTCAAAAGTTTAGAAAAGTGGATAATTCGTAAAATATTTTCTCCCAAGAACTGGAAAATGAAATAATCTTTGAAAATATTACTAATATTTCAATAAAATAATAAATAAAAGCAAAACACATTCATTAAAGGTTTACAGGTGAAAACAAATTTCAGAATATGTTAGCTTAGTGCTAAAAGTACAATATAAACATTAGTAAAATATACCAAGCCAGGTGAATTTTATGAGGAAAAACAAAATGACAAAAAATCAGCAATATCTTATAGGCTGATTTTTACCATTTTGCTTTTCCTATTAAACTTCACCTGGCTGGTATTTTTTTCTATTTATATATAACACGCTTAGCACCAGTCTAACATATTCTGAAATTTGTTTTCACCTGTAAACCTTTACTGAGTGTGTTTTATCTTTATTTGTTATTTTATTGAAATATTAGTAATATTTTCCAAGATTATTCTATTTTCTAGTTCTTAGGAGAAAAAAATCTATGAATTATCAACTTTTCTAAACTTATGACATGATGTTAAGTCTCCTTCAAAGAAAAAAATTGTTTGTATCATCTGACCTTACTAGATAAATTGTTTTAAATTTTCAAGGAAATCTTTTTACTATTCTGAAGTTTCTGTTTTTTGTAATGCGGTGATTCGATCAAGAAAACTGACGAAAAAGCACAAAAATTACTTTCAAAAGCGGTAAGTAGTTCGACTGTACTATATCGACTAAAATTTCCTCTGCTTTTCAGAATACGTGTTTTAACTTTTATCAATAAGTACGACCATACCATTTGTGTAACGAATCAGTGATTTTTAAAAATGTGTGTGCATGTATTCTATTGTAATTAAAATGAATAGTGATTCATTTGCGATTTTGATCTCGAAAATACGGCGAGATTTAGTGCTTCACGTAAACTCTGCAACACAGTAAAATTTCAAACGATGGAGAACCCTGCGAGAGCATACAACGTGCCCCAAATCTTAAAAAAACGGGGACATATCAGTTTAGTTTATCCATGTTTAACAGTACAACACCAGTCACTGTCTCAGAATGTATCAATGTTAATTTTACGAAATGTTTGTGAAAAAGAACGCAACTGGAGGATAACGAACAGAAGTCGACCGTAAAATTCCTGAAATAATACAAGTTGGGAGTAGAACAATCATCAGACGTGGGATCAGGTGCCATGGAGGAGAACGCATTCCTTCGTTGATAGGTCACACCCGCCTTGGACTACTCATTTATGTGTTGCTTTGAGTATGTTTATAGTTTTTTTTTCGGTACATAATTATGTGTAGTAATTTTTTTGACTATGTTTATTTTCTCGATACATAATTATATGTAGTAAAAGTTTCTGGAAAATCACAGTGATGTACACACTTTATATAATGTTGAAAATGAAAGCGATTAATTTCGAATAATTAAATCCAGAATGGTTTATATTGCCCTGAATTTAAAGTGAGTTATCTCAGGTTGTCGGGCTGATCTGTCCTTATTCTTCATCTTCTTAAAAGTTCAAAAGTTTTCTTTATAAAACGAAACATACATGAGGCTATGGACAAACCGTGATAACTTTTTCTTTAATTTATAACATGATATTTTCTTGGATGGATATTGACACCAGTGACACAATTTTAGTCTGAAGACATTGCCCATGGTAAAACATGCAATATAAGTGGAAAGGAGCATCTTAGCTTCTCGGCCTATATTTTTACTCAGGTCATATTTATTATGCAGATAAGATGCCACCCTTTGATGTGAAAGATCAAAGCTAAATCGGATATATACATTATTTGATAGGTACCAGGATCAACGTATTTTATTTTTAGGTCACCTAAGTAATTGGTATCCGTTTTCGTCTGTCGTGTGATGTGCGTCGTGTGTTAACATTCGAACATTTTCAGCTTCTTCTCTGCACCACTTTCAACCAATTTTAGCATAAAGCATCTGTTGGTGAAGGGGAATAAAAATTATGAATTTCATGGGAACCTGCCCCCCGGGACCTTGGGGGTTGGGCCAAAACCAGGAAAATTAATGCAATCCTAATAAATAATCTTCTTTACTCCCGGACAACAAGCAGTCAGACTGTTGGCATGATTGTAATCAGCATTGAGACCACTAATAAAATAGGGACAGTCATGTATCTCTATAACTTCTAATATTAACTCATTAAGAAAGATCATTTGTATTTTGTAATTAACAATATATCAATAAATTTACAACAAGCTAGAATCGTTGAGTTTTCTGTTAGAAACACAAGCATATCTCTATGATCTAGAAAACCCGGTCCATTTGATGCTCAGCAACTCGTCCCTACAATAGCTGAGACACGTATCTCTTTACAGGTAGCTATATTTATGCCATTTTACATGAAGGAAAATAATTCTTTATAGGACTACTGGCTCCATATCATGAAATGCAAACATTCTCCTAAATTGAACTCTCCTACATTCAAGTCACCAACATTCACAAGTATAAAGCACCACAATCTTTTTAAGAGCAAAAAGCAATGGTTTCCAAAAATAGTATTTGTTGATAAGAAGATAACACACAACATCTATGTAACATCTTCCTAAACCTTGAGGAAGCTTTCTTGGACAGTGAGTGAAATTTAAGTACAGCTATAAAATTGTACTTCTATTTTTTTGTGTTCTTATATTTAGTTCATATCGGACACATATTGCAACAGAAAAGCGCCCAGACAGTACGTACCTTAATTTTGATTTCCATAGATCATAAAATTATCAATAGTTTAAGTAAGAACTTTGGCAAAATCAATTTCCACTTAAAAACTGTTACATTTTATGGGTTTTTTTTTTGTTGTTGTTGTCAAGAACATCCAAGAATAATGTAAGCATTAATGTTGCTTTGAGATATTGGATAATACATTTTATTATTATATCTAACTGATTACTGTTAAGCACTTCATTGTAAAAAATTAACAAAATATCATTAGATCGATTGACAGTATCTAATTCATTAAAATTTAACATTGTTCTTATGTACCCTTTTTAAAACTATTTTATATCATTTGTTGTCCCATAACATAAAAATATAGACATGTGAACAAGACTCCCTATACAAGTCACATTAACAGCGTTAATTGCTTAAAGGATTTTTTAAGTGCTGCCATATTTTGAAATATCTTGTATCATCTCCTATCATCTCGAGAAAACTTTAAAATACAATGTGACTGTTTTCGACAACACACATCTGAGAAAAATCTATTAACACGCAAAGTTTTGAGGAAGGCATAAATCACGGACCTCAGAAAATTCCAGAGGTGGGATCAGGTGCCTAGAAGGAGCAAGCATCCCCTGTTTACCGGTCATGTCCGCCGTGAAGGCGCCTTATGTATTGGTCAGATTCCATCCATAGTCAATATAATTATAAAAGAAAGGCCTTACAATTGGTATGAAGCACGCCCGTCATACTTCGACCCAATGATTATGTTATTTTTACATCAAGATCATTATAACAACCGTAAAATTTACGAAATAGTAATTATACCCCACGCAACAATTTGCTGGAGGTAGAGAACCAGGAAATTCCGATTCCTTTTTTCCCCTGGAATTTCGGCACTTTTCAACTTAAGAGTTTGGCCATACTTGAATATAGAGATAAACAGGTTGTTAGCAAAACTCTTCATAAACCGCTACCAAGAATTCGGTCAAATCTTGCACATATCTAGAACACAATGTGTAGATGTGCATATTATCAGGAAAATCCGATTCCTTAATTGTTTCTGGGATTTTCGGCAATTTTCAACTTAGATTTTTGGCCATACCTTGCATAAAGAGATGAACATTTTGGCAGCGTAACTCCTCTTCAACCGCTGCACAGAACGAGGTCAAACTTTACAGATATTTAGGACACTGTGTGTAAATATGCATATTACCAGTAAATTCCGATTCCTTTATTTTTCTGGTAACCTCGGCACTTTTTTACTTTTTTTGCCATATCTTGAATATAGAGATAAACAGTTTTTTCAGCGCAACACCTCATAAACTGCGGCACAAAATTTGGTCAAACTTTGCAGATATTTAGGACAAAATGTGTAGATGTGCATCAGGAAATTCCGATTTCTTTACTTTTTCAGGATATTCGGCACTTTGAGTTTTTGAGTTCTCTTTGTTCTGTTCTAGTCCTTGTTATGCCCGTGGGCACATAGGGCAAGGACTAGATTTCTCCACATCTCTCTATCTTTAGCGTTTCTTTCCAGCTCTCCCCACGTTAGCTTGTGGTCCCTCATTTCTTTTTCAACCGTCCTTCGCCAGGTGGTCTTTGGCCGACCAGGTTTCCTCTTTCCTTCTGGTGTCCATCTAAGGGCTACTTGGTGATGTTGTCGGCTGGCTTCCTCAACACATGCCCTATCCATCGCCATCTCCGTTTAGTCAACAAGGTTCGCATGTTGTCTGTGTTGGCCTTCATGTGGTTTTTGGGTAGCAAAATGTGAGTTTTTGGGTAGCGTGGGGTATGTTAGCTTGCTCACTTTTTCTTTCATTTAAAACGAGGTTGTTAAATCCAAGTAACATCAACTTATCAGTAAATAGCAAGCCTCGCTTTAAAATTGATCGTACTCAGGGAAAGCTCTTGAGAAGCGAACAAGCGAAACACTTAATCATCAAAAGCAGGTGCGTGTGGAATATAACTTCATAAATAAGGAAATTCGACGGAAAAGCTGAGGTCTTTTCGTTTTGTGTCAGTTTGTTTTTATTGTCTATAAATAGTCAGAACACATTCAAATATGAATCAGATGTGGCAGACTCTGTAGAGTATTTTATTGTAAGTTTACTGTAACTATATATTTAGTTTGAGTTGACATATTAAATTGTCAACATATTTTCAGTGAACATTTCATAAAATGTTGCAATTGGCAAGGTTGGGTAATTCATAACTCTGATTAACTAAATTTCTCATCTGACCAATTATCGTAATTTTTGGTCATGCGGTCAAAAAAAAAACATTACGTATGCTTTCAGTATATAATGGATACCAGGTTTTAGTAAATGTTCAACTAAGCCTCTTTCTTTACTGCTCACTAAGATATTAACAGTAGTGAAGGAGAAACTTCAAGAGTACTGTGCTGCAATATGTTCTAGAAATGGTGTAAAACAAATGTGGATGCTTAAAAATTCCAAGGAACTTTTGAACAATTTAATCACAAGATTTCATCAAAATCAACAGCTTAAAAACTGACGACTTTTCAACGTTATACACAACAATTCTCCAAGTTTAATTAAAGTTTCCGCCTTTTGAAATCATTGACAGCTGCTTTTTTAATTAAATGGAACTCGTAAATTTACTTACCTTGTCGTTGGTCATTTGAAAACTTATTTTGTTAAAAAACATTCTGATTGTATACACAAGTACTCTGGAATTGACATCAAGAAGATGCTTGAGTTTCTGATTGACAATATCTATGTGATTTTTAGAGTCTAGGTCTTTCAACAATCTATTAGAATTACCATGGGAACCAATTGCGCCTCGTTACTAGCAGACCTATTTTTGTATTCATATGAAGCAGAATTTGTGCAAAATCTTGTGCGTGAAAAGATGAAAACAATTTCTGTGGCCATCAACTCGACATTTAGATATATCGACGACGTATTGTTAATTAACAACAGTATTTTCCATTCTTATGATACGATATATCCTGGTAAACTTGAGATCAAAGATACCACAGAGTCGAACACATCTGTTTCTTATTCGGATATTTCGCTTTAGATGGACGTTAATGGTAATCTAACAACCAAGCTCTATGATTAACGTGATGACTTTTCTATTGTCAACTTCCATTACTTATGCAGCAATATACCTTCATCACCTGCATACGGAGTTTATATATCTCAGTTGATTCGATATGCAAGTGCATGCTCTACTTATGAACAATTTCTAATTAAAACGAGGTAAATTATTGACAAGCAAGTTGATGAAGAAAGAATAACAGCTCTCTCGTTTAAAGTCATCATATCGTTCGTTCTATGTTCGAAATAATTACCTTGTCAGCAAATACAATTTATCATTGAGTAAAATGCTGACTGAAGTTCTTCATGCTAATTGTCAGTCCATTATTTATACACTGGATTGACGACGTTTTTTCCGTATTTCCCGATCATGACAAGGAGCACACGGCGGGTGTGACGGTTCGGCAGGAGATGGTCACTCCTCCATCGCACCTGATCCCACCTCTGATGTTTTGGAGGTGTTTGCTCTGCTCCTATGTTGTATTGTTTCATGAACTTTGATTTTGAATACTGTTCGTTATCTCCATATCCTTCATATCAACAATTCAATTAACTTTAATATCCAAGTTAAGTTTAAAAAAATAATTTTCAAAAAACTCTATCCATTATTTTGTATAAAGTTTAAATCAATATTTATACTTTATTCAGAAGAACATACAAAATACAGCACTTTATTATCTGTCATTATCTACATGAGTACAGAACAAATTTTTAAAGTCTGTAACTCCTTTTTAAGTAAAAAAAAATATAGCATGCAAAGTATTACACTTATCTGATATAATGCATCGTTATATTGAGCAGTCATATTGAAGAATTCATCTTAAGGTATACCTTTACTCAGAAGACTAAAAATTCCACTGATAACGAAATACCACCTACTGCACATTATAAACCTATAATTCTTGTGTTAATTTTCAATTTCAAATAATTAGGTCAATGACCTACTTTTCATGCTAGTGGCCTCTGAGTATTTCTCGGAAAATACCCCAATTTTTCATACTATGATCAAGTTTTTCTTTACTCACAAAATATTACAAGCAACAAAACTCTTTGAATAATGAAATATTATAGCAATGGAACAGGGTTGCTTCATGAAAAGAAGCGATTAGACTTAGGGCCATAAATTTGATAATTGTAACAGTCCGAATTTCCTCTGTCATATTTATATTTCTTTCCCATTTTTAATTGAATATTACAAAAATCTGAATGATAAGAACTCCAAAGCATTTATAGAATCAAATTACTTTTGTTGCCCTTATTCTCACGGTATTAATATTATATGGGGTCAATGATCAAATTATTGAAATATGTTGTCTGCAATGGTATTTGTTCATATTTTTGAATTTCTTTATTTCATAGCATTTAATTATTTGAAATAATTTATGAGCTTTAACACATATATAATTTGCAAAATGATGTCTAGAAAAACAAGTCACCTTCATACTGTTATTTATATTGCAAAAAAATTATAATTTTGACAAAAATAAAAAAAATTGCAAAGTTAGTCCGAATTTCCTCTGCATTACCAAACATTGATTTTTGTTCCTGTATATTTCCTTTAAGTTATAAAATATTAATTTTTTAAATTGATATTTAATTAAAACTTGGTTGTTTTATCCATTTAGAACAATTTTTGATTTAACATATTATACTTTATAAAATTTCCCGTCTAACTTCTGAAACCTGAGTAAACGTCATCCTTAAAGATGTTTATCCTTCCTTAAGGTACATTGATCCATTCCATTCTACATTTACGTTTCTAATGTCTTTAGCGGTGCAAAACCATGTGATTATATTACACAATACACCATTACTACTTTATTTTTGAACTTGAGCATGCTTACTATTATCTAGACAGGCGGACCATGGGACCTGGCATCCTGATTCTTACTTTTTGGATTCTATACATATCACGTAGGTGTTAAAGTTTTTTCAAAATGAAATCATTTTCTGTAATATTTTCACTAACCCATATAATACTAAAACATGTCAAAAGACCAAAATATTATTATTAATAAATTTTTTTAAAAAAAAATACACAAATAGTATAAACTTTCGATTACTGAGTATGTAAAAGTACACAACGTACCATTTAAGGTTCATTACACGTTAAAAAGTAAACAAGTTACAAGCTAATTTTTTTACTAGCTGATATTTCTATGCCTTGTTGTCTTTCTAGTGGGTGAATGCTGTACCGGTAATATTCGTCCTTATGTGGACATTAGATGTTATGTATATGTACGGGGGAACCAGAATTTTCTCAGGCCATGTCCTCCTGTGACATATCTGAATCCTAATACATGTGTTTTAGAAAACATACCAACCCATACTTTCATAGATCGGAGGCCGGGTGAGAGTAATTCAAATTATTATTTTTCTTTATTGTGCAAACTATCTGATTGGCTCAAACTGGATCACATGATCAAGTATAAAAAGTGTTACAGACTGGATGTTTCTATTTTAAAAAGTTATAAACCTGCTGTTTCTAAAATTGGAAACGCTCTTCTGTGAAGCAACAATAGTGCTGACGTCACAATAGTATTTATAGACTGGATGTTTCTAAAAACAGATACTGCAGCTGGTTTTCATTACTGTGACGTCATAATGCAATGACATAACAATGCCTTGTATGAGAAGGTACTGAGAATTATAAAGAAGAATTTTAAGACATTTCTTATTAATTAATAAAAAATAATAAAACAATTGTAGCCTTTTGATTTGGTACAATCCCTCGATATATAGACCTAAGAGAAAGCATATCGACCTCGCACTTCATGCTCGATCGATATGCTTTCTCTAAGGTCTATATATCGAGGGATTGACCTCATCAAAAGGCTATAATTGTAATACAATGTACATTTGAAGTGAAATTACGCATTATAAAGTAATTCATATTTATAAGTATATCCACTTCCGCCCCAGCCCAGAGTTGAACTCACCACCTACGGATTCTGTCTCCTAGCAGTACAGGAATACCGATTGGCTACATAGCATGAGGTCGACCCAAAGTTATATCAACTTCACAGGAAAGCATATCGATATGTTTTTTTTCTGAAGTCTATGTATCTATGGAGTCTATATATATATGGATTGACGGAATGAAAAGGCTACATTTGTTTTATATATGTTTCATAAAAATTAAAATACCAAATTTGAAAAATAATATGGACAAGCCATAAGTTTTTTCTGTCATCTTCTGTAACACAAAAAATTAAAGTTCTATCTTTATTGTGTCCTTTTCACTGATAGAGTAAGTTAGGAATGTAATTTCAGAGACTATACTTGTTTTATCATAATTGATAAGAAATATTTTTGATTGATTTTAATATAAAGAAGATTCTTATTCAAGTCATTGTTACATCCAACCAATTATTACAGAACATCATTATAAAAAGATGAATTGTTTTTCAGAAAGGTCAAGTTATATTAGCATTTTGAATGACAGAAAAAGATAACGTTAATAAACTTCTGTTTTTCATATTTGCGATGGAAGAAACTTTTATAAGCTTCGATTGATTCAAAATTACATTACTGTTGTCCTGTACAATTATGATTTCTTAATATATAAAACTGTATATTTGATTGTATATAGAAGTTTTTCTTCTGTTTTATTTTAGTCTAATTGATCATAAAGGCTCAGATTACAGACAAATTTATCATAATGATACATTTTAACAGCAAAATAAAATTTTCAAAAATGCAGCTCAAATATTGCTTTAATCTATACAAATAGTTTTCACGTCTAATTTCATTTTTTGTGCAAATTTGAATTAAAAATTAAAAAGTACCCGGTGAAAGTTCTTCATTTTACTCACTTAAACATGACCCAAGTTGTTTTTTTCAAATTCTTTGACAAAAGTTTATTTGTATCATCTTTCCTTAAGGCACCACTTTTGTAATTTTAGAATTTTTTTTTTCATTTTTAGAAACATGAGGTCAATATGCTGGCTAGAATTTATGAATAGTAACAGGAGTCACTACGCTGTCATGTACTTGATCATGTGATCAAGTTTCAGCCAATCAGATAGCTTAGAATAATAGAGAAATATGATATTATTTGATATTTTTCTGTTGAAATCTATTTCGACATCTTATATAATTATTATATCATAAGTATTCATTTCTGTAATACTTTATTAAAATGTATATACATTTCCAGTACATGAATTTCTTGCTGAAAAAAATCACTCTTTCAAGAAAAAATTTTAAAGTTACTTGACGGATGTTACAAATTACTTTACTGCTCAAACGTAGAATGTAATCGAGCGCTGTTTGGTGAAACTATCCAAGTTTCCAGCGGACACACTCCCCACAGTTCTGGTGGATCAGGGGTTAACCCTTCTGTCCATATGTCTGCAACACATGTAGATCAACATAATTTATGCCTCCATAATCACTCATATTACCGAGGTTTGTATCGGTTTATCTATATGAGAAGAGTAATAAAATGTTGCACAATCAATCCAGAATATTTTGCGGGACATTATTAATCAAAAGAAATTTTTAATAATAAAGTACTTTTATAACCAAAAAAATAATTTCTTGTGTTCAAATTACATTCCTTATAAAGCAGATTTTTCTCTCTCAAAATTACTTTAGACAATCTATTCAAAACCGACATTATAGCTTGAAACAAAAATTAGTAGAAAGAATACATAAGTTCTCTGGATATCAAAATGTACAAGTCATTAAAGAGAGATACTGAAATAGAAAACTAGAGCTGGTTAGCATGTAATGGTGTTTATGTTCTCCAGTGTAATTTAACTAATTTTACAAGTTCACTGAAGCTAGTTTTTGTGTTTATAGCAATGATGTTAAAAGATACATATATATTAACATATAGCATTGAAATAAGGAGATAACGAACTGCATGTATTCTAGTTAAAAGTCCAGTACAGACTGGGATTTTAATAGAGCAAACACATACCCCCATAAACATCTGAGATATGATTAGGTGTCTCATTTTCCTATTTTAATGGAGTTTAATTCATGAAGATCGAAATTATTTCATATTTAAATTGCAAATGGTGCGAAATTCAACCCCGGACACGATTTTGTCCAGACTTTTAAGAAACATTTCTGATGAAAATGCCCAAAAAAGTTTTTAAACAGTTGATGATATTTCTTAACTGGGTCTAGATCTTATGTAGAACTCAAAAACATTTCTATATTTAAAAAATATAGAGATATATATTAAAGTCAGAACCCCATGGTGAAATTGAGATGTGTAGACTTTACATTTTTTCCACCTTTCTGCCATGGGAGAAAAAGTGTCAGTTGGGATGTTTTTCCTTTTGGACTTTTTTCCCACAAAATGCTCAATTGCAATTGGGATATATCCCAAGGATATTGACAATTACTTACTGCCGCGGTCTTTATCTTTAAATTTTTTTGCTTGAATTGTGTTTCTCATATTTTCAGATGTTTTTAACAATGCAGAAAGGGAGAACTGTCTTTCACCTTATTCGGGTAGTATATAGATTGCTTTAAAATGCATATATTTATGCCTCAAAAAATTGACAACTGTGAAAGATCACGCATTATCATTGTAAACGTACTGATTTACTGTATACAGGGTTATTTTCGCCCCGATTTATTTTGCCCTTTCACACTTGCAAGAATTTTGCCCTGTTTTAAATTCTCCCAGTCACAGTTTTGGTAGAGAAATTATATGGTATTCTTTGAATTCGCCCCTTTTTAAATTCGCCCAATCAAGATTAGGGCGAAAGGGGCGAGAAGAAAACAGGGGCGAAAATTTCCCTGCATACAGTATATAAACTTAAAAAGCGTCACTTAAGAAATTATTAAACTTTTTCACAAGCATATAACCTATTTTGCTTTTCTTTCTTTTTAATCGTAACTTTCTTTTAGTGTTTAAACAATTGGATTACCTGCGAAAAACCGATCATATTTGTGCGACAACATTAGTGAAGAAAATGGCAGGTACGTACCGATAGCTATGGTTAATTTCAGAACTCAAAAGCACAGTACTGTGTACGACCAACAGACATACATTCACATCTTCTAGCTTTCACATGGTTACTCAAATAAATGATAGTATACTCTATTTTGATCATAGGATTTCAGAGTTTCAGATAAACCATAGCATACTTTATTTCAATTATAAGACTTCAGAGTTGTATATTTTTGAAATACCTTCAAGAGTTAAACCATATTTCACAAGATTTGAAATTCTGTTACTTCATCGTGTCTTTTCTTTCCAGGTCTTAATCTACCAAGCTGTACATGTTTAAATAGACATATATTTTATCCATACCAAAAAACAAGTAAGTTTAAACAAGACAAATTTTGTTCTTAGTTCATTAAATTGAATCGATTTTTACCGCTTGAAAGTGGGGCGGAACATATGCTGTTGGAATGTTCGTTCTTCCTTCCTTCTGATTGTTGAAATCCCACTTAGGAAAAACACTCCATTATCCAATCCAATTCCTGTTCCACCATTGAATGCATTTATCAGGTTGAGAGGAAACGTTAATTTTGCTATTATATTTGGTACCCTTACATTTTGGGAATTTTATGAAATTTTCAACGGATGCGTTTCATAATGCGAACACACATCTTAAAACAGAAATGACATTTTAACATGGTAACCAGTGATTGCATTAGATTTCAAGAAAGTGTGAGCCTCAGTTTATCTCACGCGTGTGCACAAATTATTGATTAAAATAACTTTAATCTTCATTGAAGTAGGATTTTCGAACATAAGTAGAAAAGATCACTTAAGGTAGATCGCGGGTTTGCTGACGTCACAATAGGATTAAACACTGCGGTATTTCACTTTGGTAGTAATGTACCAGTATTATAGCGGGATTTTCGTTTTCCACCAACCTGTTCTCTGTAAAATCACACATGTTCTTGGGGCCAAATTATCGTGGTTTAATCAGAAAAAGAGCTTAATCATCGAGTATTTGAAGTTTTCAAACTGAAATAATTAAAGACTCGATAAGTTTCATACAATGATTACGTGCTTCATACATGAAAAAAAAGTCTCAATTCCATCCCAAGAAAGTTTATTTTCTTTTTGTAAAACATGAAATTTTCTGATTTTAAGTATTTACCTCCCACTATGAACAATTGATGTCAAATTTAATAAAATTCATAAATTAGATTTCTTTTTGACAGATATCTATGACGCAAGTTGTAGACAAGACCATCACTTCCAAGGTATTTAGGAATATCTTACGTATATATTTTATTAAGGGTCAGATTTTTCTTTTAATAACTAGAAAAAATATATTTTTATATAGTCTATAAATAGGCTCGGGTAAAAAGATATCCTTTATGAATACCAAACCATATTCACCATCGAAAGAGTCCATTACTTTATTATTTCGTCTAGTGATAATGAACACGTACCTCACTAATCTACCTTTCCATCACACTGGTGCAACCATAAAATGCCAGACTCGTAATAAAGGTGGGTTTATAGTTTCTTGAGGCATCGATACATAATTGGAAATATCTTTTTATATTTAATTAACGAAGTCACTGTAAACGGCTCTAGCAATGAAAATCAAAGCTTGTGTCTTCTTATTTGTTATATTTTGCTCTTTTTTTTCGTGTTTTATTGGATTTAAAACGTTCTTATTGATAAATTATTTACTATAAGCTTTTTAAATAATGTTAAGTAAAAATGTATATTTTTCATTCTTATTCAATCATATTGCTTTTTTTCAGTCTGGGAAGATCTTCTCCGCATAAGCAATATGAACACCCGATGCTTAGATGATTTTATCTCTCATATGCACGGTATTAATAACACATAAGAGAATAATATAACCATTCATATGTAAAATCACATATTTCGTGGGGTCAAATTTTCGTGGTTTAAAGAAAAACTTTGGTTCAGGGGATTTCATTTCGTGGATGGAGAATTTTTTAGTAGTTATTTATGTAACATTTTACATTTCGTGGTGGACATAAATTCGCGGGTCTCTTCATACCTCGAAAAAAAAAAAACGAAAATTAACCCCCACGAAAATTCGTGATTTCACAGTACATAACTTTTTATCAAAGTACATGTATCAACAAATTCACACCCAAATGTTCATATTATTAACTGTAAAACTATGCCGTTGGGTTAAAATGTATGATGCAATTTTAATAAGATTTATTTCAGCTGCTTATGAGCATAATCATGATCCAAATTGCTATCAGGCCTGCCAAGGTTCTCCCCATGGTAAATATATATATAAAATTTTCTTATGAGAGTGTTTATAACAGCAATTAAAAAATATGTTTCTTGCAAAATAGATAAATATGAATTAAATTGATTATATTGTGTGTGTTCTGTTGAGTTTGTAGGCCTATTTATTTATTTTACGAAAAATGGAGGATTCAAATACTGTAAACCAACTTTTATTCGCGTGCGAGAAATATTCGCGAGTTCCGCGACCTCCTTTAACCCGCGAATATTAATCGCCGCGAAGCATTCATTTTGCCAAGGATTTGTAGAGAATGTTTCCTCGCTCGCGGAAAATAATCGTCGCATTGATTTCAAACTGACGAATCGCGAATAAAAGATGACGCGAATAATAGTTGGTTTACAGTATAACGTCATTTCTTTTTTAAAAAAACTTGAAAACTTGCTAGATTTAAAGAACATTTAAGATCGGGTGTAGATGCATTCAATTATTGGAAATCTTATCTGGTTCAGAACAAATTGACAACAGTTACATAATCGAAGCATTTCTGTATTCCTCATTTCTTTGCTCCGTTTCAATTTGACTGACATATCACCAAATCCTCTTTAACATCTCCCACATCAAGCATGTTTTAGGGCTAAACGTTTCATTTTTGTAATTATAAAAAAAAATACCGTATTTAAGTAATAAATATACAAATATGTTTATTATTAATCTTTATCCCATAGAATTGCTATAGAGTTTTAAAGGGGCATGGACAAAGATTCAGACAAAAATTTTCATTCCATTTAACGTTTTCAGATACTTAACAAAGGTATTTCTAATGATCAAAATATTGAATTTCAGATGTCAAGATACAAGAAAGATTTAGAGCTCCTAAGCCTTGTTATCTGAACAAGGCCCGTCCAATGTTTTTGTTACATACTAGGATAAACATGGTGTTATATGTTCGTTCAAAATAGATTTTTTTCAATAAAGAAGTTCATTCTAAACACAATTAGACAGTTTCTAGTGATTTGCTGAATCTTGTTTTGTTATAAACATGATATTTTCTATATGTAAACAAAAACAAGGCACAAGCCTTGTTTACATCATGAAGAATTGTAAGTTCTGTACCTCCTTTGTAAATAAAAGATGATGTTAAAATTTTTGCTGATCATTAGAATTGTCTCAGTTAGAAATTGTAATCATTAAAATTGGTAGAAAAAAAAATCAGTTGTGACTGTGTCCATGCCCCTTTAATGTCATATCAAACTTCTTTAGGAGACTGAAAGCTGCTAAATATGATTTGTTCTTCAGTATGGATTAAAAAAATATTTTTACGGAATGAAAAAAAATTATAATAAAAACACATATATCCTTTACTTACAAGTTTCTACGACTACAAAGACAACAAAGGGTGCAACACAACCTTCCACAGCAACTATTACGACGACAACATCCACAACAACAGCACCATCACCTTCAACAACAACCACCACCACTCAACCTACGACAACAAATTCACCATCGACAACAACAACAACAACAACAACACCGTCCGTAACTTCAACCACAAGTAAACAAACAACAATCATCACATCAACAGAAACACCAACAAATAATTATCCCACAATTACCTTTTCAACGCCAACAACTTTAAGCAGATTCATAAATAGTTAATAAGCGATCACACGACGAACGTTTTCTCTATATTTTTTTAATTGTGATCGTTTAGAATTAAGATAATGGAGTTTCTAAATCATAAAATTTTAATCGTTGGATTAGGTCAATCAACTGCATGTTCTAAAATCCGCACTGCCCTTGCACTAGTGAAATTTATAGGTAATTATTAGAGAAGCCAAACACCAAATTTTACTTATGAAATTTAATACAGGCAAACAAATTTAACAAATACACAAATTCCTGCAATATGATTAAACTTGCTTGTTGGTAGAATGGGAGATGGTTGCATTAATTATTAAACTATTTAAAACAGCTGAACCCTGGGATCAGATGTTCAACTGATAAACAGACAGTTGATGACAAAATTTTCAATTATTCATAAGCTGGAAGTTTCTACAAATTGATTATGATCACTCATAAAATGATCCCACAGTTCCTCTGGCGATACTGGTGCGAGTAAAAAACTGCTCCACCTAGCTAACTGCAAATACATGTATAGCCACAGCCACTAGTGACACCTAAATGCTACTCTTCCATTAGTAGTAGCTTAAAAGAAATTTCGGTTGCAACAAACCCCTGTTTGCAATTCTAGGTTACTGTTGCAAGTGTTCAAATTTCAGTAATGGGGCGCCTGGCTAAAACTTAGCTTCGAGCTTAAACCCTATACCTAGCCTAACTTTAAATACTCAGCTACACAAACTGTGTAAAAATTGCTGAAATAGCACATGCAGAACAAATGTCTGCAACAAATTAAATTTGCAACAACTTTGCAGCAATATATGGCAGAATCAGATGTCTGCAAAATACTTTAGTAACTTAACAGAATCTATTGTCTGTACATGTACAATATATAAATAAGCAAAAGCAGAGGCACCTGTCTGCAATCAAACAAGATATGCACAACTTGTTCGAAACTACTCATTAGAATTGATATTGCAGCTCCGAATGTCAACTGATTTGTGAACCAATACACCTGCACATTAATGAACAGAATTTGCTGAAACTAAATACGCTAACGGAAGCAGCCAAGCACCCCATTCTCAAACAGGTGGATAAACAAAGTCTTTAACAAAATAGCAAAGTAATAAATAGCTTGATGAATATCATCTACAAATGTATATTGTTAGAGTATTATCATAGCGTTTCTACCTTATCTTGTTCGAGTATTATCTAAACATATATATAAGATTTATATTAATTACAACAATCAAAACAACAAAAATTGAAAAGAGAACACTCTACACTCAGTCTAACAGTTACATTACACTTGTATTTGCATCAGCCCTACAAACTACTGGCCAGTCTGGATGTAAGATATAACTTTCATGCTTCAAAAGTTATAGCGAAGGTTCTAAAAGGTATTTTTAGCATATAGATCACAGTCAAGGTCACAAGATCATAGACCTTGATATCATTTGAAAGAGCTTAGTAAATTAGTGGAGTATGCACACCAAATATGAAGTCCCTATATTTCATGGTTTAAAGCTTATGGCGAAGGTTAAAGTTGACAGACAAACAAACAGACAGACAGAACAAAAACAATATGCGCCCCCGATCTATCGATCCGGGATAATAAAAACATCATTTCTGTCTAGTTTTTTGATTTAAGATATGAAGACACTGAGTACTGAGTATTATTAACCTTTTGGTTTTAGCCACTATCACAACATCAATAACTACAATTTCAGCTACCACTAATGTATCATGTATTTATCTATTTACCGAATTTACGCTTCATAATACAGTAAATTTTTAGCTAGAGGAATTATATGCATATAATCAAAAATAAACTTAGCATGTGCCCCTTTCTGATTAGGTAAGCCTTGTCCCTCTTGCGATGAAAACTTAAACTGTGTTTGGAACCAGACCTGCTCAGCATCAGAATCCTGCATGGTGAGGGCTGCAACAGGCCACGGATTTCAATTCACTGTACATTGTATTCCAGTAAGTTACTCTTTGCTTAACAGTCATTATTAAAATATATTATTTATGAATTACGTAAGTTTCGTAAGTGTGTTATGTAGTAAATGATTTGCAATTATTGATATAAACAAACTTGTAATTTCTTTACAGAGTCAAGACTGTCACTTCATGACCACATTTTTACACAACTCAGAAATCTACTGCTGTGATGATAGAGAGTGTCTTAGAAAATATCTTGGGATGTAGACTTTATTTATGTTGTTTCTGCTGTAAATAAAATATGCAGGTCTTTGAAATGAATGAAAATGCATTCTCTCAAAAAAATAAAAGGTGAAGGTCGGGAATTCATACATTCTAATAATCCCTGTTTCCAAAAGAATTTGGTCTTGTGCAAAAGAAGTATATATTACAATCTGGACTTTTGCAAAGAAACTATGTATTACAATTTGAGCTTTTGCATAGAAAGTCTAAATTATATTATGGAATTTTGCAATGAAAGTAATTTTGTTTTTGCAAAGAAAGTATAAATAGCAATTTGGGCGTTTGCCAACAAAGTATACTGTAAATGTATTATATTTAGCGTGTACGATATTTGGCGGAAATTGATTTTTGTACAAGTTAGCGTAGATTTGATTTAGCGCATTTCTTTTTTTTCTTATTAATGTATATATGTGTAAGACATTTAGCGTAATACTTGATTAAGCGGAAGTTTCTTTCCGCCAAAAACGCCCTTTGGGTATCAACATTTTGAATCTCTTCACATTGGGATTTGATTGCATTTGAGAAACTTAAACTTTCGCCAAGAGCTACAGTGTACCATATAGGAACAACTGTGTTTCACAAACATTACTATGTACGTAGTAATTTTCCCCTAACATTTTAGTATGTCCTTTATAATTGCAAAACAGATAGAAACCTAGGGCATCTGTAATTGTTAAGGTCAAGAGCTAGTCTTCAGACTAACTTTTTGGTGCTAAAACCATTATGGCGTCATAATCACTTTCAATATACTTTCTTTTTTCCGTACTTAACAGATTTAATAGAATTATGAAGAAAATGAAGTTTCTTCGTGGAATTCAGTTTGAAATCATATGAAAAGTAGTCCTGATACCTACATTTATTTTCACATTATTTTAAAGAAGAGGCCAAGAACATATAAATTACTTTTTTCTGAAAGACTGTTGGCAATCTGGCTACATATTCTCTGTCTGATATGGAAAAAAACCCTATTTTCTTGACTGGTTTTCTTAAGTTTTCACTGGAAATGACAGTTTAAAGTATGATTTTTCATCTTGTTCATCTACAAAGTATGCCCCGAAGCACCTTATTTGACCAAGCTCAGCATCAATTAAGAAATTTACTTCTTATCTGATATGTCTGTAGGCACCTTTCATTTACTAGATCTTGACCTTCATATCATTTATTGAAATAATGAAAGGAAAAATCCTCATTCTGAATATGAGGATTTTCCCAAAGATAGGTCTTATCAAACAATTCAGCCTAGGAAAGTTTTCATCACCTGGAACACATATCAAATATTGAAACCTTAACTTCAGATGCTTTTAAGTTAGTCAAGATTGAAATTAGACAAAAAATAGATCAAACTCCATGATTAAGAGGTAAAATGTGTTTGTACCAAAAGTAAATACCAAGTGAAAAGGAATTCCCATTCAAATATGCAAGTCCTCAAAAGTTACAGGTTTGCGGACAAAATAAAGAGACGGAAGATAGATCATAAAAGGTGTCCCCAAATCTTAAAAAGCGGTGGCATAACAATTGAATTTATCCATGTTTATTAACAGTAAAAACAACCCCAGTCACCCTCTCAGGGTGTACATGTATCAATGTTTTAACGAAATGTTGTGAAAGAGAACGCAATTTGAAGACAACAAATGGTAATCGATCGTACTATTCCTTGAAATAATACAAACTGGGAATCATCAGAGGCGCGATCATTTGCTATGGAGGAGAAAGCATTCCTTCGATGATCGGCCATGCCCGCCGCGTACTTTTCATGTATGAGAAAATTTTCGCGGAACATAATTTGACGCCATTGTTCATGGTAAGACATGAACTATGAGTGAAAAGGAGCATCTCTTTGCTTATATTTTTACTCTTGCCATATGAACTTTGGAGTAAAGATGCCACCCTTTACAATTCTTTTGTAAAAGATCAAAGCTACATCTGATGTATAAAAGGTACCTGTATTTCATTAACTAATACTTCATTACATGTATCTCTTTAACTTCTAACAGTAAGAAATTTTATTTGTTTTAAGATAAAACAAAAAATATTTTGTATTTAACAATATATCATTCAATTTAAACTAGAGTCGTTCGGTAGTCTTTTGGAAGCACATGCCTAGCTATATGATCTATGAGACGCGGTTCTTTTTTTGAAGGTCAACAACTTGTCCTTACAATAGTAGATGCACGTATCTCACGTATATCTCTTTATCTAAATATAACACGTTCCATTTTGACATGAAGGAAATAATTCTTTCTAGAATTATTCGTTCCATATTATGAAATCGAACTTTTTCTAATAGTAAACTTTCCTACATTTAAGTCACCAATTGCAACGTCCACAAGAATTAAGCCCCACAGTTTTTTTAAAAGAACAAAATGCATTGGTTTCCAAAAATCGTAAAAGCTAGTTGATAAGAAGATAACACACAATAGCTATATATTCATGAACCTTAAGGAAGCTTTCTGGATCATTGAGTGGAGTACAACTACAAAGTTGTGTCTCCATATTTCTTTGTGTCCTTATCTTCAGTTCATATCGGACACTTAAGAAAAGCGCTCAGACAGTACGTACCTTACATTTGAATTTCGTAGATAACAAATTTATCAAAAGCTTAATTAAGATCTTTGGCAAAGTCAATTTCCTCATTAAAACTGTTGCATTTTATGTTGTTTTAGCTGTCAAAAATCTCTAAAACAATGTTAGCAATAAATCAATGTTACTTTGAGGTACTGGTTAATACACTGTACCGATATATTAATTTGATTTAAATGAGGTTCTTCGTCGTAATGAATCAACAATAATATTATTAAATCGATTTACGATATCTATTTATTAAAATGTTACATTGTCCCTTTCTGTATACCTTTTTATGTGTTGTTGTTCCCAACATAGAAATATCTGCATGTCAACAATACTTACTATTCAAGTTCCATTGCCAAGGAGCTAATTGCTTTAAGCATATTTTAAGTGTTGTGATAAACTGTTATCAATTATCAAAGAATTGACTTTGCTTAATGAATCATCCTTTTGCATCTCGAGAAAATTTAATTCAATGTGACTTTTTTCGAGAACAAGGAATCGACTGATGCCCAGGGAAGTTCGCAACTATCCACTCGATAAATGTTGAATGTTTAATCTTTAAATATTTAATCCTTTCAAAATATATCTTAAAATTTAAAAAGTTCATTTTATTATATAGAAGGTGAAGATGATAAATCTAAAAGAAATCTATAAACAAATTTTTGAAAAGCGCATGAATCAAGGACCTTTGGAAATCCTAGAGGTGGAATCAGGTGCTTTGAAGGAGCAAGCATACCCTGTTGACCAGTCACGTCGCTCACATCTTGTGAACCTTATGTATTGATCAGATACATTCCATTGTCAATTAAGTATAAAACAAAGGCCTTGCGCTAAATATGGAGCACGTCAGTGGTAATTCGACTCCATGATTAGGTTATATTTACATTAAGGCCATTATAACAACTGTAGAATAAACGAAATGCCAATGTAGAACGAGGTTGTAAAATCCTGTAACATCAACTTATTAGTGAATAGCATGCTTTGCTTTAAAATTGATCGTACTCAGAGAAAGCTCTTAAGAATTAACAAGGGTAAACATAAACACCATAAGTAAGTGATGAGTGGAATATTACTACATAAATAAGGAAAGTCGATGGAAAAGTGGAAGACATTTTGTGTCCGTTTGCCTTAATTGCCTATATATAGTCAGTAAAAATCAAAATATGAATCAGCTGGTGCAGACTCGGTGGTATATTTTGTTTTTTGCTCATTGGGACAAAATATATTATATCGAATCGACTGAATGCATATTTTAAATTTGTCAAAATATTTTTCAAAGAAAATTTCATATAATGGGCATGAAATACACTGCCATTCAATCGAACTTAAATAGCCAATATGCTTTAAATCATTTTAAAATAGCTCTTTTCGTTAATATACACATACGAGGGTTGTCCCAAACATTCGTAGACAGAGAAAACAGTTTAGTTTCTCTTTGCTAAATTAAATTTCTTTTCTTGTCATAGCAAAAAGTAACATTTTATGATCATGCATTTCAAATTTTATGATGATATCACATTTAATAAGAAAATTATGAAAAAATAAAGAATGTGTGTAAGTGTACATCGGCGCACGAAAGCAAGCGTAATTTACGTCTCTTATAACGTCATGATCTCTTTTTTGTTTCACACGCGTCTGTTAACATTCAAATTTTTTTTTTAAAGTGAAAGACCACTCTTGACTAAGGGACTTATTTAAATTCAGTATTGTCCGGGTTTTTTATTGTTTTTTTCAAGCAGGTTCACATTTCAGTCGAAATTTAGTCGAAAGATCGCAATAGATTGTAGGCAGCAGAGAATACACATTGTTTGACGTCGTTCGTGGTCGAATTGTTCCCCATTTTCTGCGTTTAACAAACAGTATTCTATTTCTTAACTGCTGTAACTATTTTCGGTAAAGAGAAAAACTCTCATGTCATTTAAAAATAACTTCCCTATTAAAATCTCGTGTGTAATGTCACTTTTGTACTCTATTTTCCCATCTCTGAGGTGTACAAAGCATATTCAAAACAATTTATTACATCTCCGTGCGCCGGTTACACGTTTGACGACGTCATTTTCATCAAACTCAATTCCAAGAACACTTTGAAAATCAGGACACCAATCGTCTGTTTCTAATGCTATTTATATGACATTTTGACATATTATGAAGATTTTGATTTTGGTTTCACTGATTTAAAATTTAGTTCAATGTTTTACATAGTACTAAAGAAATAAGAGCAAATGTAATATAGTTATATGCGTAAATTATTCCGAATTTTGTTCATGCGCCGACAGACCTTATCGGTCTTCATATAAATCGTCCTAATATCATTAGTATGAAAGATATATATGTAAAAATTCACAATTTTAAAGAACGTTGAATACATTATGTCTATGCAAAATTTGGTTAGTATTGGTTGCATGTTTAAAAAGTTATGAACATTTTCTACGACTTTTTGGGACAACCCTCGTATATGAAGCTAAAAAGCAATACTTAAACTTTATTAAGAATAATCTACAAAACATATTCAATTTCAATTCTATCATTACATAACAGTATGGAACAAACAAATTCTTTGAGCAATTGGACTGAATATGAACATGAATTACATTTTATTGAAGATCATTTTAACGAACATCATTGCACTTCTGTATCTATGGGTAAAATTTACATGCGACGTGTGGCTTCAGTATATCATCTATACTTTTAATGAACATCTGTGTACCTCTTTTTTAATTAAAAATTTTATAATTATAACATACGAAATATTATGCTAAGCTGATATAAAACATTCTAATACATTGTATTCAGTAAAGACAGATTGAAAAATAGATCTAATACATGTTTTTCCTTCATTAAGACACAGGATTAATCCATTCAGTTCTACGTCAATAAAGTCTTTGGCAGTGCAAAGCCATGTGACCATTATACACAAAACAACCTTTTCTATTTTTTTTTTAAATTGAGCTTTTTTACTATTTTCTAGAGAGGCGGACCATGGGATCTGGTATCCTCATACTTACCATTTGGATTCTATACATATCACGTAGGTGTTTTAATCATTTCATTTTAATTAAAATCATATAATATTTTCACTAACCCATACAATACTTATAACTAGGGATTGCAACGTATATTCGAAAATCCATTCGATGAGTTTATATATTCGAATATAAATATATGATTCGAATATTCGGTTTAATAATAGGAATAAGATTTGATTTAAAAAAAATTAGGACACTCCTGTTGGATTACTTTAAAAGTTTGAAGAGTGTAACTATTAGAATAAATTATTCTTTGGTCATTTAATTAGTGGTATAACAATGCCAAGTACTTAGAATCAGTTTGTAATGTAGTAAGGACACAGTTTTACAGAAAACACATGGGTCCCTTGTTTATGTATATATCATTAAAATAATTATCATGAAATTAATTAGCTAGAACTAATTGATTTTAATTTTTCTTCAAAAGATGATTGTTTAGCGTGGTATACATTTGTAGGAGTAATTAGACTAGTGTAGACTTTGGTAAGACAATCGATTAATCTGGAACATACTAAAGATCGAATCTTTTGACAAATTTTCATTAAGTTTTGGATGTATTCTCTTCATATATTCTGTGAAATGTTAAAAATATTATTATTTTGTATTTTCAAAACTCTACGTGAAATTTATTCCAAAATAATGACAAAACGTATACTGGTTGAGTGAAAATATATATTTAACAATGCAAAATGTATTTATTTTATTGAATATTCGAATACTCCTATCGAATATTCGATTATAAATTATTGAAAATTTTGACATCCCTATTTATAACATGTTAAAAGAGAAAAATATTAGTAAGAAGATAAAAATACGCAAAGTGTTTTAACTTTTGGTAATGTAAAAATACACAACGTACCATGCTCTTACAGGTTCGTTACACTTTTAGAAAGTAAACAACTACATGTAAGTATGGTAAAATTGCATGTGGTAATTCATAATTGCCAAGGAAAATGAGAAACAAGAGTCCATGAAATAGTTTTACTATACCTTAAAACATTGCTGTGACGTCATGCCTTTGTTCTTGCAGTCTAAAAATTTACCTGTAGCCGTCCGATTATAATAATTACCAGTCTGGTAATTTATTATCGGACGGCAATGAAAACAAAATCGGACGGTTTTTAAAAACAAAAAGAAGAGTGGAATAAACTATTAGAAATATGTCAACCCCCACCTCCCCAAAAATAGGAAAAAAATTGGGGCATCCGCAAGGAATTTTAG